TTCAAATACATAACACGACTTCATGGGATTGGATGAATTTGAAAATATGCTACATGTAATCCCGCTCAAATTTGAGTTTAAACCGCAATCGCCCGCCAAAATTTGAATTCAATTTAAAAGTCCCGCCAAAAGTTTTGATTGCCAATAATTTGTAAACTCTAATTAAATATTGAATTTATTCGTTATCACGATCAAATATTGTTTCTTCCGATCAGTTTCAGTCCACAAAAATCAATTAAAAGAGACAATACATTAATTAAGTTGTTTAACTTTAATAACAATATTCTGAAAAAAAATATTTTCGATTTCTTATTAATGGCTTGAACATGTGAACTGAATAGACTACAACATCTCTTTTGGTATAAAGACTCACTAACCATCAATGTTGCAAAGTAAAAAAAACTCATTAGACATGGTGAAGACTAATTAACCGTGAATAATGTAAAAGAAGAAAAAATATTAATTTCTTAAACAAAACATGTACTTTAAACATTATCATATATACATTATCATGATGACACTTTCCCAAAAATTTCATCGAAGACTTAACGTCTCTCACTCAGGTCATATTTTTACAATCCATAAAGCAATTTATATGTTTCCGCAAAAAAATAGAAACAAAACTTGAAAAAAAATACTAAGTTTGTACAAAAATTGATGATCTCCCAAACTAGATGCTGTACAGTGTCGGCACCCTGGCTCGAAAATGTCCAGCTCGCCGAGAGAAGCAATATGAGTGGTCGGAAGACTATATTCGGACCGTGTAACAAAAAGTTAGAAAACTGATATAGGATGAGGCTTTTCGAAAATGAAATGTCTGTATCTCTTCAGTGGATGGTATGAACATAGTCGTGCAATATATCAAAATACTGCTCACGACCAGTTAATTAATTTTGATCAGAGGTCTAAAGACTATAGAATCTCAAGTTTACGAGATAAAAATTTTCAACATTTTTCCGAGATTTTAAAATTCAAGTTCTTTTTTGTTTTTTGATTGAAGACTTATCGAACATTCGGTTATAAAATGACTTATTATGCTCTCCTTTTCCTAGCAACTTGATAAGTGAAGCATTAAGAGGCTGAGAGTTTTAATTTACAAAATTTTTATACATGAGGACACCAAATGAAATCTATTAAACATCAATCTGAGTTTTAAGTTTAAATCTTTATACACAATAAAACCAAATTAAAATCAATCAAACGCAACAACAGTTCAATAAAGTTAAATAAGGTCTAAATACTCCTGAGCTTTTCTAGTGTTGTTATCTTTCTCTTTTTCTTTGGTGCAAGGCATAGAGAAGGAGTCAAATTTTCCATTTGATTACTCACTGTCGCTTCGGGGGTGCGAGTTGCAGTTGAAGAATCTGGTTCATCAAGCCATGGTGACACTGTAGGAGAAGGATCAGCTTTCGGCGTAACTAATAATGGTGATTCAATCTGTTCCATTCCCCATAAGCGATCAAAAAATTCATTTTCTTCAAAGTATTCTAACTGGTTTTCACACATCGGAGTAACATCACAATCGTATTTATACAAAAATTTTTTTACTGGTTTTGATAAAGTTGAAATATCAACCTGAAGAGCAAGAGGCTCGTCAGGATCTGTATATTAACCAGAATTTGTAAGGTAACTCAAATACTAGCCAAGATCAATTTTTAGACGAAGACCGCTTTGCAAACCCGCAACTAACCGAAATTTTTTAAATTAAAACACCATATCTATTTACATTAAATATTTTTGATAAAAAGCACGATCATATAATTTCAGAAGCACTAGTTGACATACAAGCATATGAAAGCTTCTATGATAAATTTCAGTTATTTTTACTAACCTTTCACTGTCTTCACCACAGGAACGCGATTTGCACTGTTCCCACGATATAATGTTACGCACTAAACAAACGCAAACTTACACATATTATCGTTTTATACAAAACCATTTTGATTTACACACACCATCGCGACAACCCCACCACCGTTTTCAGTTTATTAACTCGAAATACACATCACCGTTCTTTCTTAATTTTACATTTTGCATTAAAAATACTAACCTCCACGGCATCCTCCGCAACTATGACCCAGTTACCCAAATGTATATATTCTGTCCCATCACGAAGACCTTCAATGATGAAGAATCAAGACCCTTCATTATCCCGCATGAATTCATACAACCTATCGAAATACCCATACTAGAATATATTCATAACACTAAATATAATCATAAGATTTACAACTTGATCCAAAACACACCTCATGAATTTGCAGTAGGCACAGAAGAACTAAACACCATCAACGCACTTCAATTGCTTTGGCCACTGCTACAAACTAAAAATGTTATACGCATACTAGCCAAGTTATTGACAACATCAGACTTGATTCACGACATCTTCCCACATAGCTTTTTCCCAGATAAATAAGGTAAATATGAATTAAAATAATTTTCACATATAAATTCAAAATTGTACTAACCATTTTTAAATTTATTATTTTAGTGTTCACACCACTATCATCTACAAAACAGAAAACAGACAAATAAAAATACAAACTTGTTAAATTATAATAATACTCCTAAATCTTTCGCACTAAATAATGTAGTAAAATTCATACCCAATGTAGTAATTTCATTTATAAATTATTTCCCCAAGAAGCAGTAAAATTAAAAACGATGAAAATTTATAATTTTAAACTTCCCCAAAAGCAGTAAATTCGATTTCTAAGCAATAAATTTATAAAATGAGAAAGCAGTACTAACCTTTTCAATATTTTCATTCATTCGCGCAAGAATTCTATCCAAACTCGCACAACTCGCCCACGAAGAATTGTTTAAATAATGATTTTATGTTTCAAGTTTTCACTAACAACAACTCAAACAAGCAATAACAAGTTTCAAACTTTTCTTTAACTCGGTTGGAAAGGAACTATATACTAAACCAAACCAACCAACGCAACTTACTAAACACCACAAATCATAAAATAACAGCATGACTAAGAAAAGAAAACCAACGGTACCCAAACTGGATTAACCCAGCTTAAAACTGGAAAATTTATTCTTTTGAAGACTATTATAAAGTCTAAGAAAGAAATAAAAAAAACACAAAAAAGTCGTAAGACAAAAGCAAACCAAAAACAATTTGATTTTTGAAAAAAGGACACAACCAAAGTAACATAAGAAAGACCAGAAAAAACCAACATAAAATGTTGTCACATAACAGGACTTCTCAAAGAAATAGCATGAAATCATACTCCTGGCCTAACCCACCAGAGAAGGACGTCCTGAGCATGCTTATAGCTGGCCTAACCCACCGCGCTACACCCACGCTTTGTGACCACACTTCAATTTTTAATAAGAGGTACTCAAGGGTGAGCAACTCTTCAAAATAACTGAACTAAAATAAAACGCTTTTGTGAAAACAACTAACTAAGATCATGACTAAAAACCAAAATAACAGAAATTTATAAAATGTAAATCATAATATGCAGTATATAGATCACAGACAACAACAAAGACGAACATCCAAAGACTAGACGATCCCATCACACTCGAACAAAAGAATGGCTAAACACAACCGACATGCCGTCCACAATCACGACTCAAAGGATTTAGAGTACGACTTGACTTCGCAGAAAAGGACTTCATTGAACTAGACCAATGACCACCTCGATGTTCAAGTATACGTACAGATCCGAGTTACAAGGCATCCCTTCCAAACACGATTTTCACGCCATTCCCAGACGAGGCTGCGCACAAAACAGTTCTCTACTAATACAGAAAAATCTGACATAGCAAACCATTTTGAAATCGGATTGATTTCATTGGGGATCACAGTCGTTGTCGAATGACAAGATAACAATTTCCTATCCCTAATTCCAGCGTCCTGGAACGTTCTTCTTCAAGAGGAACCGGATAAGAAAATGATGTTTGCCAAATACTAACGTTCATCATCCATCCTTCAATTACAGAAAGAAAGATAAATCTAAAAACTCTGTAAACCCCGGATGGGTGGAACCGGATCTAAACTACATTTTATCATTGGATAAATTAGATATTTTACCACTATAAAATATTTAATGTTAACCAATCATATTCCATCTAACTAACAACCCACTTATTTGTAAGTGCTGAAATTACTTGTAATTTCAGCACCAGAGAGATTGAATTTAACTTAGAAATTAGTTACCTCTCCAAGAGAACTTCAGCAGTCGCAATAAGCCAGTATACTCTAGATCTATTGAGCCTAGCAGAGACTAGTTAAACACTCTGAGACTAGTAGACATAAGAGTAAGATTAGGATCGGTATTAGACTAAGAAGTTGCACGAATCTATCCGGCCGAAAATAAGACAACATGACGAGCAGACGGTGTACCCTATCCGAAATTACTCTATGAGTTATACACCCTACATCTTAACTCATAATAAGATCAATATACTTAAAATTCTAAAATACTAATGACATAAATTAATAAATTAATAATAAAAAAAGTTATTAGACGTGTTAGGCTGCGCTCGAACCGAAGTACTTGGAATGAAGTGAGAATGCTTGCATCTGATTTGTTGAAGTTAATTCAACAGCGATCATGGTTTGAATGTTGTATCTTACTTTTTATGTTATTATGCTAAGGTGTTAAAACTATCTTTTTTGGCGTAAAAAGAAAGAGATCTTTGCTCTGATTCAAAAAGTGTCGGTGACATGACATAGTGCAGAAAATTCAGTTCGCCGAATAAAATAAGAGCGCCAGTTTGCCGAAAGTGCTCATTGTTGAAATATAGTTATCACCGCAAACAAAAGGAGACAATACTCGGATTTGTTTTTGCTGCAGAGCTGAAAACTAAACTGGGGAAGTATTTCAAACTTCACGCCAAAAAACACAAAATACTTATCTTAGTATCACTTAGTACCAAACTGGCATGTTGAAGATAGCGAATTGAAAACTTTAATTCAAAAAAGTTTTCGAATTTCGAGAACGCTGTCAAATAGTTCTTCAGCCGATTTCTTTTAGAATAAAGTTGATACCATGCCTTTGCTCGCTTTCTCTATCATCTCACTATCATAATCTGCGCTATCAGCTAATCCAATTTGAATATCCCAAGAGTACACTCAGATAATTCGTCATTCTCATCACTTTCAGCTCTTTCTTGTATTCGCGCGTTATTAAACTGCTCCAAAGGCTTTCGAAGACAAACAAATAGCTCTCGACAAGATGGGAACTGTAAGTTTTTTCTTTAAGTATTGCCATATTTAATACTTCGGGATTGTTCGATGGTTTGACTGTTGTTTTAGGGGGCTGAAAATGAGATGTTTGTCGGGCTTGGTCGCAAAGAGGTGATGGAAGAGTCGAACAAGCCTCTGTGGAGAACTCTTCGGATAATTCTTCTGGTCGTGTTCTGGCTATCCTGGGTCGCGTTAATAGTCGGTGGGGCTCTAACAGTTCTGATGAATTCATCAAACTGCGAGTAAAATTTTTATCCATAAAGAACTCAGACACCTGGGAATATTATTTACTGTTACTGATATTACTGTAAATACTCATTGTTATTGTAAGTGCTCTATAGATGGTTCCGAAGAAGCAAAACTGTTGCATATTTTCGAATACGCTCCGATGTAGGATTCCTCCCTTGGCAATTCTTACTTATTTACAACATCCACTTTGATAGAATCTGTCTAAGTTCCATTAAAAAAAGGCCTTTTGCCAATAATTACTAGTTCTGATGGGGCAGTGCTGGGAGAAACTTGATACTTTTTTAAACTAAGAAAACCTTGTCAAAAACTTTGGCTTATTTTCCTTAGAGATTGCCTGCAGTGCTCGAATTTTTATCAGAACAGAATTTCTCAAACGTATTGGGAGTGGTCGAAAAAATATTTGTTCGCTATAGAATATAAGATTGAAATTTTAAACGGTTTGAATACAAGATACGGAAGAACTCTTAGAAAAAATATGGTTTTTGGATTGACCAATCAAAAATGGATATATTGAGCGCCAGGATTTCGGAGAAAATAAACTTCGTGATAAAAACCAATACAGCTAGAATTTTAAACGGGCCAGGTAGCCCGTGGGATTTCACTGGCAGCAAGAACAATTTTGCCGAAGGATCGGAAAGTGCCGAATAAGTGAAAACAGGGGCGGATCTAGGATTTTCTCGAGGGTGGGGTGGATTTTTTAGGCCGACCAAATTGATTTTCCGACCTCTCCCAAAGCGCTACAAGGACCCTGAAAGACCCTGACTTTCAATTTCGAAATGACAACAAAAAGGACATTAAGATGGTATGTTTTGTTTATTATCAAGTCTGAGTGTAAAATTAAAGTCTAGCTGAACAAAAAACAAACAAACAGCGCAGAATGTTCCGACTACAATCAATTCAAGGAAAAGAAGTCAGGAATAAGAGAAAATTTAAAAAACGTCTATTTTTTTTTAAATATATCATTTTTTTCCCTGAAATTCCTTCTTTTCAATTTAAGTAAAGGACGACTGATCTTAGTGAAATAGTAAAATGTGGGAAATGAAACGCATGAGATGCATAGATAAATTTAAAATTATAAGAAGCAACTGGCTTTAAAAAATCGGAAAAAAACGCCCTTTCATCATTTTCGTCTAATTTAGTCTGTTTTAAAAAAAATAAGGTTCAATACAACACCTAATTAACCAATTTGACCAAAAATACTAGTCATACCAGTTCCAGATATAGAAAATGCTAATCAAACATTCTTCATGCAACTATATAAGTACGGAATATTAAATGGAAGGTATATGATTAGGGATTTTTCATGAAGTGTGTTGAAAAATATGTTTTTTTTTTTAATTTTTAGGTGTTCACTGCAACCAGACTGAAGTTACAAAGGTCCTGGTTACTCAAATAAAAAAATGGATATCTCAAAAATAGTACAAAGGGGACCCCTCCTAAAGGGGACCCCCCGGCCTCCCTCCTAAATCCGCGCCTGATTGAAAATGTTACCCGTACCCAGTAAATTTTCTAAGAAAGATCTAATTATTTTATGATCTGAAACTCCTTGTTTTATATCTGAAACATGGATATGCAATACAGTATTTTCAGATCTCAAATTTACATCTGAAATTAGATCCGAGAACACGTTTTTAAAGTATCCAGCCGTTGTTCTCACATTCCTTACAATATGCGTATAATGTATGAATTTCGAGAAAACATTTCGATATCAAATCTATAGCTGTTTCTGCTATTTTTAACTATACTTTGATTAATTAGCCGTAAAAACTTGAAAAGCATTCGAAAACTTACACAAATGCTTTTTTATTCTTGAAAATATTGCTATTTTTTAAATTTAAAATCGGTAAGCTTAAAGTATATCTTTAAAAACGCCAAAACGCCAACTTGAAAAGCATTCGAAAACTTACACAATTGGTTTTTTATTCTTGAAAATATTGCTATTTTTTAAATTCAAAATCGGTAAGCTTAAAGTATATCTTTCAAAACGCCAAAAAATGCAATTATTTGGTTTAAAAAAATCCTAAAGTGCTTTAAAACGCCTTTTTTACCTAATTTTCAAAATTTTAATAACGAAAAATTTTCCAAAAAATTTATTCAGTGTTAAGAAAAACTGGCTAAAGAATTTTGTTTTTTAGTTCAGTTTCGAGCAAATAAAGCGAGCGATCAGGCTAACAATTGCTTATTTATGCTTAATTTAAGCCATGCAAAATTAGTTAAATGCAATAAACAATTTTTGTTTTGAGTTTGTAGAGTCATTTTGGGAACCAGAAACTTCAAATAAAATCAAAAATTTTCTGCAAAAAGTTTTGAAAAAACAAAACAAATTTTTGTTTACTTTTTCCGGTCATTTTTCTGCAAAAGCTTTGTCCAATATGCCTATAATACTATGACTGTCTAATTTGCCTAAATTTTCTTTTACACCAAATCTTTTCATCGCACCAAGCAGAAAAAAAATTTTAGGCCGTAGTTTTCCAAAGAGTATGGTCGGAAAATTCGGTGCTACTTGCGCAGAGGCCGACTACCCTTGTTGTTTTAAAGCAATGCAAATTCTGTAAAAATCAAGTGAAGCTATTTGCTGTTTGCATGATGTTTGTCCTGTTTTCACTGCGGAACCTCACCAAAAACACTTTCTGAAAGTTGAAAAGTACAAAACCTGTTCTCTTAAATTGCAGTTTTGTTTGAGAAACACGTCCATGGGTCAATTCGCATTCAAAGAAAACTTGCGGTAGAAAAAATATCTCGCAATATTTTCACCGCAGCAGTAGTGGCTCTGAAATGGCTCTGTCTTTAAAACTTTGCGAGTTGTTGCTTTCCTTTACTTTTGCGAGTTGTCTTTTGTTATAAGTTGTCTTTTGTCGCGAGTTGCCGCGGTACTAAAAGGAAGGTTAAAGAGTGCATGATATTGGTGTTGAACATTTATAACATTGGTATAATTTGTTGATTATTTAAACATATGCGCTCAGAGGTGACTCAATCGGTTTTCAGATTTAGTTCCCAAATGGTAAAAAGAACCAATTTTTGTGATAAACTGTTTTGTCGTGGTTATTTTTGTTTTTACTTGTTCCGTTCTGAGCACCAAAAATTAAATAACCGCAATGTTTCTACACAGCCAAATCAAAGATGCGACTACAAAAAATCTATTGACATATCATCCATAAATTCGAAAAAATCCAAATTAATTGAGACTGGAAGGTTATTATAAGTTTCCGTAGGTTTACAAATATCTTGGTAATTTGGAGAAAAAAAACGATGAGCGCCGTTAAAAGCAAAAATTGAACTTTTTTACAGCCTCTTTCAAGAAAATAAAAAATATTTGAAAATTCAATAAGCAAACTAAGTCTAGTTAGTTCCATTAAACCGTCTTTAGGTAAAATTATTTGCAGCAGTCACAAATGGGGAATCCTTATAAGTATCTGCAAGTGTCTAGAAGAAACTTTCAAGTACTGTAACTACCTAAAGTAGATAATATATCGTCACAGTTATAGATGTTTTAAATTTTAAATAACCAAAAAAATTGAAGTTTCAAACCGGAAATAGGTTTTTATTATTTTGATCTAAAACAACCTTTACTTATTACGGGTAACCATATTTAGATTTAAATATTCTGCTATGTTAGACTAAGATGATAGTTACGCTATAAAGCATAGCAAAGCCTGCGTTCTGTTTTGTTAGGCTAAAATAACACTCGATTTCTTAGTCAATGCGAAACAAGTAAAAAACAGATACGGCTGTTTGCAGGATGATGAATCTGTTTTTTTTTCGCTGAATCTCACCAAAAACAAACTCATAACGCTAAAAACTCAAAACTGAATCTCTAAAAATCCTTTTTAACTTTAGTTTGACAAACATGTAGATGCGACAATTTGCAGCAAAAGATAGTTCACTTTGATATATTTTTCGCAATATACTCACTGCTGTAGAAGCGGCGCTAAAACGGCTGTCTTTCCAACTTAGCGAGATGTCGCTGTCCCAATTTTTGCAAATTGTTTTTCAGCACGAATTGTCTTTTGCCGCTCTTTGACACTTTACTAATTTTGCTTACATATCTTAAAGGTTAATAAATACATGCTTTTTTGATCTAAATTCACAAGTAAACAAACAAAATTTGTAGGCGAAAAACAAGTTCCTCAAAGAACTATCAAAAGCTTACTTAGGTTTTTTATGGGGTCCATAGTTTCAAAGGCGGGTCGGACTGAGCCGCAATGAGTACGGCACGTTGACGACTCTGAACCAGGGAAATTATTTCTTTTGAGTAAGTTGACCATTTGAAACTTTGCGTTCGCATAGGACCGAATCAAGTTTTAGCCAGTTTTTGAGATAAAATGTCGAAGTGCGGTTTTCTGTAAGTTATTTTTCCGTTCTGAGCACCAAAAAGATTTAAATAGAATTGCTATCTTTCTATGCAGCCAAATCAAAGATGCGATCACAAAGGGTCTAGTGACATATCATGTTAAAACCGGAAGAGCTTGAAAAAATTCGAGTTCGTTGGTACCGGTAACACATTTAAAATATATTTGCCAGTTAAGAAACAATCGCTCTAGCAACTGACAGCAACTGATTTATTTCCAATTGGTGTCAGTCCAACAGTTATAACGGATAGCCTCCATAGAAACGCAAGTCAGACAGTTGAATCCAGTAAATCTATAAAAAATTGCTTTTTATACAATTTTCATTCATTTTTGTTTAATGGTGTAACTGAAATTTAAATATTTTTTTACGGCATTAAAATTGGTGTATTGTTACTAACAAATGAAACTTTTTGACTTAAAATGCAATTCATACTATTTTCAGAAATAGAAATGGTAAGAAATCCAAACTTTTTCAATAGCAAAATCAAGTTTTATTCGAGTACAAATTTGAAGCTGCCTTAGAATTTTTTCTAGCCAGTTGCTCCTTATAATTTTAAATTTATCTATGCATCTCATACCTCTCATTTCCCCAATTTTACTATTTCGCCAAGATCAGTCGTCCTTTACTTAAATTGAAAAGAAGGAATTTCAGGGAAAAAATGATATATTTAATAAAAAAATTGACGTTTTTGAAATTTTCCCTTATTCCTGACTTCTCTTCCTTGAATTGATTGTAGTAGGAAGATGCTGCGCTACTTGTTTGTTTTTTGTTCAGCTAGACTTTAATTTTTCACTCATACTTGATAATAAACAAAATATATCATCTTAATGCCTTTTTTGGTGTCATTTCGAAATTGAATGTCAATTCGAAATCCAAAATTTCCGTATTAAACTTCAAGAATTCTTCTGACCATAAAAATAGAATTCATCAATTTGATAAACTTAGAGTTTGAAAATTTAGGCATTTCTGGAAAACGTTTGACAAGTTAATTTATTGTTAGCATTATCCGATTTGAGATTGCAAATTTTATCAAGTTGATTGATTGTTAGCATGATCCGATTATTATGAAAAGAGACTTGAAGACTAATTAAGCTATGAAAAACATATTTGGTCTCATACTTAACCTTTTAAAACTACTCGCTACACCATAAAATTGATGTTCATGCGAGGTTGGGGGGGCGGGACAAAAACAAGCCAATTTTTGTAGAAACTACACAAAAAGGGATAAAATTTTTAAATCTCGAAAAGGAGCGATAAGTGAGACAGTGCATAATTTATAAAGTTTGATTCAAATTGCAGCATGACTTTTGTAGGAGGTAGCATGAAAGTGTTGTTAATGATATCCGATAACTTTTGTTATCATTCTGTGCAGAAACAAAAATTTTAGTTTTCAGTTGTAATAAATTTTGCGAAAGAACAAAACTGAGTATGTCGTGGTTCCAATGAAATACAAAATTGCGACTGCGATGTCAACTTGAACCATCAATTTCGACTGTTTCCTTTTACATCCTTCCAATTCAGCTCCTTGTGCTTCAATCAAACAAACATTATTCTTAGTTTTGTTAACTTTACGTCTGTTATTTTGGTCCTCGACTACTTCTGTGAAGTTGTTGTTAGCCAAGTCTTGGCTCGGTCTGTTTTGTTGGTTACTTCTACCGTCCAGAGGTTTTCTTTGAGAAATTTCTAGTCTCAGTTGGCGTTTTTCGATCCATAGATGCAGATTAATGGACAAAGTGGCCATAGCTATGGACGCAGATGATAGGAACATGTTGCAGAGGAAGTAGTTGCATACTTCTGGGATGGTCTTGGATGTCTCCGGGATAAACTCTGTGACTATCATCAGGTTCACACAGAGAGCAAGTGTGAGGGTCACCCCGAACCCAATCCGATCACCCTGTCAACAAATGACAGTATTCCGACTTATTGTCATTTTATAACGAAATGAACTTAATTCAAACAGAATGATTCTAAATATTTTGCAAGGATAGTCTCAAAAATGATGGTGTTTGATCAGCTCATCTTTTCCAAAGTTTTTACTTTCGGTGAATTTATTCGTTGATGATAGACTAAGATGATAGTTACGCTATAAAGCATAGCAAAGCCTGCGTTCTGTTTTGTTAGGCTAAAATAACACTCGATTTCTTAGTCAATGCGAAACAAGTAAAAAACAGATACGGCTGTTTGCAGGATGATGAATCTGTTTTTTTTTTCGCTGAATCTCACCAAAAACAAATTCATAACGCTAAAAACTCAAAACTGAATCTCTAAAAATCCTTTTTAACTTTAGTTTGACAAACATGTAGATGCGACAATTTGCAGCAAAAGATAGTTCACTTTGATATATTTTTCGCAATATACTCACTGCTGTAGAAGCGGCGCTAAAACGGCTGTCTTTCCAACTTAGCGAGATGTCGCTGTCCCAATTTTTGCAAATTGTTTTTCAGCACGAATTGTCTTTTGTCGCTCTTTGGCACTTTACTAATTTTGCTTACATATCTTAAAGGTTAATTAATACATGCTTTTTTGATCTAAATTCACAAGTAAACAAACAAAATTTGTAGGCGAAAAACAAGTTCCTCAAAGAACTATCAAAAGCTTACTTAGGTTTTTTATGGGGTCCATAGTTTCAAAGGCGGGTCGGACTGAGCCGCAATGAGTACGGCACGTTGACGACTCTGAACCAGGGAAATTATTTCTTTTGAGTAAGTTGACCATTTGAAACTTTGCGTTCGCATAGGACCGAATCAAGTTTTAGCCAGTTTTTGAGATAAAATGTCGAAGTGCGGTTTTCTGTAAGTTATTTTTCCGTTCTGAGCACCAAAAAGATTTAAATAGAATTGCTATCTTTCTATGCAGCCAAATCAAAGATGCGATCACAAAGGGTCTAGTGACATATCATGTTAAAACCGGAAGAGCTTGAAAAAATTCGAGTTCGTTGGTACCGGTAACACATTTAAAATATATTTGCCAGTTAAGAAACAATCGCTCTAGCAACTGACAGCAACTGATTTATTTCCAATTGGTGTCAGTCCAACAGTTATAACGGATAGCCTCCATAGAAACGCAAGTCAGACAGTTGAATCCAGTAAATCTATAAAAAATGCTTTTTATACAATTTTCATTCATTTTTGTTTAATGGTGTAACTGAAATTTAAATATTTTTTACGGCATAAAAATTGGTGTATTGTTACAAACAAATGAAACTTTTTGACTGAAAATGCAATTCATACCATTTTCAGAAATAGAAATGGTAAGAATTCCAAACTTTTTCAATAGCAAAATCAAGTTTTATTCGAGTACAAATTTGAAGCTGCCTTAGAATTTTTCCTTTGCTCAGGTATTCGACCTACTGTCGACCCAAAGGGACCCTCTTTGTAGTATTTTGAGATATCCATTTTTAATTTGAGTAACCAGGATCTTTGTGACTTCAGTCTGGTTGCAATGAAGACCTAAAAGATTTAAAAAAACATATTTTTTAACACACTTCAGGAAAAATCCCTAATCATAGACCTTCCATGTAATATTCCGTACTTTTATACTTGCATGAAGAATGTTTGATTAACATTTTCTATATCTGGAATTGGTATGACTAGTATTTTTTGGTCAAATGGGTTAATTAGGTGCCTTGAACCATTTTTAAAACAGACTAAATTAGACAAAAATGATGAAAGGGCGTTTTTTTCCCGATTTTTTAACGCCAGTTGCTCCTTATAATTTTAAATTTATCTATGCATCTCATGCCTCTCATTTCCCCAATTTTACTATTTCGCCAAGATCAGTCGTCCTTTACTTAAATTGAAAAGAAGGAATTTCAGGGAAAAAATGATATATTTAATAAAAAAAATTGACGTTTTCCCTTATTCCTGACTTCTCTTCCTTGAATTGATTGTAGTAGGAAGATGCTGCGCTACTTGTTTGTTTTTTGTTCAGCTAGACTTTAATTTTTCACTCATACTTGATAATAAACAAAATATACCATCTTAATGCCTTTTTTGGTGTCATTTCGAAATTGAATGTCAATTCGAAATCAAAAATTTCCGTATTAAACTTCAAGAATTCTTCTGACCATAAAAATAGAATTCATCAATTTGATAAACATAGACTTTGAAAATTTAGGCATTTCTGGAAAACGTTTGACAAGTTAATTTATTGTTAGCATTATCCGATTTGAGATTGCAAATTTTATCAAGTTGATTGGTTGTTAGCATGATCCGATTATTATGAAAAGTGACTTGAAGACTAATTAAGCTATGAAAAACGTATTTGGTCTCATACTTAACCTTTTAAAACTACTCGCTACACCATAAAATTGATGTTCATGCGAGGTTGGGGGGGGGGGCGGGATAAAAACAAGCCAATTTTTGTAGAAACTACACAAAAAGGGATAAATTTTTTAAATCTCGAAAAGGAGCGATAAGTGAGACAGTGCATAATTTATAAAGTTTGATTCAAATTGCAGCATGACTTTTGTAGGAGGTAGCATGAAAGTGTTGTTTATGATATCCGATAACTTTTGTTATCATTCTGTGCAGAAACAAAAATTTTAGTTTTCAGTTGAAATAAATTTTGCGAAAGAACAAAACTGAGTATGTCGTGGTTCCAATGAAATACAAAATTGCGACTGCGATGTCAACTTGAACCATCAATTTCGACTGTTTCCTTTTACATCCTCCCAATTCAGCTCCTTGTGCTTCAATCAAACAAACATTATTCTTAGTTTTGTTAATTTTACGTCTGTTATTTTGGTCCTCGACTACTTCTGTGAAGTTGTTGTTAGCCAAGTCTTGGCTCGGTCTGTTTTGTTGGTTACTTCTACCGTCCAGAGGTTTTCTTTGAGAAATTTCTAGTCTCAGTTGGCGTTTTTCGATCCATAGATGCAGATTAATGGACAAAGTGGCCATAGCTATGGACGCAGATGATAGGAATATGTTGCAGAGGAAGTAGTTGCATACTTCTGGGATGGTCTTGGATGTCTCCGGGATAAACTCTGTGACTATCATCAGGTTCACACAGAGAGCAAGTGTGAGGGTCACCCCGAACCCAATCCGATCACCCTGTCAACAAATGACAGTATTCAGACTTATTGTCATTTTATAACGAAATGAACTTAATTCAAACAGAATGATTCTAAATATTTTGCAAGGATAGTCTCAAAAATGATGGTGTTTGATCAGCTCATCTTTTCCAAAGTTTTTACTTTCGGTGAATTTATTCGTTTTACAAGAAACTCTGTAACTTTTCAGGAAAGTTTGAGCACTTTTTACTGGTTCTGAGCTACCATTTCCTTCAAATTTATTGTAAGCTGACAGAAACTTGTCTCAAAAGCACTAATTAATGAAGGAATACCCGGAAGAAGGATGTCTCTTTTAATCCTAAAAAAGTGCAAAATTTTTCTTTAGGTAGTTTACTGCGTTTAAATCTATGGCCATTTTTCCACATTACCCGTTACAATACTAGCTAACAGGGGCGGATTTAGGGGGGACGTCTTCTTTTCTCAGGGATTCGACCCCCTGCCGACTTAAAGGGTCCCCCCTTTGGTGCTTTTTAATAAATCCACTTTGGCCGATCGATCCTAAAATTTTTCTAATGGCGCCTTTGGCGGCAACATATACTAATTTTGAGGGGGGAGCGCGCGCCAAAAAAACGCGATTTTTTAGTCAAAATTTTCCAAAAAGTGCCTAAAAAACGCTTTTTTGGACTGTTTTTTCAAAGTTTTGTCTGCGGCGCAGAAAATTTGGCCAAAACAGGGTGTAGATTGTGCTCAGAGCGAGCTCAAAAAATCAATTCGGTCCCAAGCTAAAAAAAAAAAAGGTTGACAAAATTTTGAAAATCCACACCCCCCTCGAGAAAATCCTAGATCCGCCCCTGCTAACTAAAAAGAAAATGTGTGTTACTAAAATCAGTCTGAAATATATTGCTTTTAGAGTGACGTGTTTGAAGTATGGAGCTTTGAGAAAATATTTTTTTCCGAAAAAGTTTGACAAACTTCTGTTTTTGGAGGTGCTAGCATTTAGTCAGTTACTTAAATAAAGTCCACACTTCACTATTGATCGAGACCCAACACAAGCGTGTCTCTACGCATCGACTCTATTGTCTTGAAATTCATTTTTTACTATTGATGCATTAGAGTCCACCATTTGTTTTGATTCGATTCCATATCATTATATTTTTATTACCTCAGAACAACATTTCTGTTTTATATTGTTTTAACATAAGAGTTTCAGGTGGTATTACATGACGGAGGCGCAGCCAGCAGTCCAATCTTGATCAGGATAATGTACTGACTTGTTATGAGTGGCATCTTTTTGGCCGAGACATCCTCGGAACCACTAACTACTTGCTGTAACTTTTTTAGGACTCTTTGGACAATAAGTGCTGCTTACACCCTAAAGCTAATATCTTTGAACGGGATGGATAAGAAAAAGCTTGGTTTTTCACAGTTTTTGGCAGTTTATAAATCTTTTAGTACTATTTTCCCACACTTTCGACATTGTACCTCACTAATCTTTCCAAATTGGCTTTAAAAAGAAAACATTACATTTTACAGGTATAGATACGAATGGAATTGAATGAGCGTTTTTATTCTATGGAGGACAACCTGGATTGCTGAACAAATTTTGTTTTTTTTTGTTTCCGTTTCTTTAGATTCTTAATCTGGGATATAATCATGATAGTTCACAAGCCTGTTCTGCTGGCAGCAAGAAGATAAGTGCGCTGAGGGCGAGGAGGCCGGCATTCGGGAGGAGAAGATTACGCACGTAGAAGTCACTCAGTCGCTTGAATGTAAAGGACAAAACGAGGTAACTATAATGTCTGCTGTTCTCTACCAAAAGCTCCGCCCGATGACAGGATGTGTCTGAAAATTAAATACGGTGAAAACTCTAGCTGGGGGGGGGGGTTGATTGTGGCTGTGAACTAAAATTTTTTTTAATTCTGTTGGCTTTTTGATGACATAAATACGATAACCGAAAGATGATGTGTGGAAACGCTTCCTCAAGGTTCAATTAGAAAAAAAACGCCAGGTCCAGATCAAAAGAGATGGAGGCACATCCTTCCTTACCCTGCAGCTGCCATTGCGTGTGGTGGGAGTACGCGGAGAGGTCCAGGTGTGCTTGAGTGCAGTAGATGTCCACTTGGTCTGCTGGGTACTGCCAGGAACCCACACTGATCGTGCATGTCTGGGAGTCGAAGGGGAAGTTGGTCACATCCATCGTGCATGTAGTGGTGATGGTCAGAGGACTAGTCCAGTGCACTGTCCCATCGGACTCCACGCCCACTGGGATGATCTTAAAGGACTCTTGGATATTGCTAACTCCCTCTCTTATTGTAGCAATTACTTACTTACAAGGTAGAATATTCGGATCAACTTGAACTTAACAATATACGTATGGTATCTACTAAAAAACTACCACCCCTATAAATAAAAGCAATGAATTAGCACTAAAGCGTTCCATTTATAATTCGAATTTTGCTGCATTCTGATTGGTCGAAAATTCTACAAACTTAATTTATTTAACAACTACCCCTCTTTCTTGAAGGGAGGGGGGGGGGGGTAAATGTTAAGTAGATCCAAATATTCTTATGGGCTTAACAGTTGCTTTACTTCTTTCTTAGGTACCAAATGGGGAAAAGTCAACAAGATCCGAACACATTCTTGTCTTTCTTCTTAGATTGATAGTTTTAGCCTCATTCTCATCGGCCTTTAAATGGAAGCTATTGTGCCATCGATCTAATTATGAGCCAAGTAGCAGGTATTTCGATTTGTTTTCTCAGAGATTAGATATTAATGATTTTATCTCCTCTTGAATTCTCTCCATTCTACATCGAATCGAAGACGCTGGATGACTTAATTGAAAAAGAAAGATTTCAACTTTCTAGCGATATTAATTTTTGTAATTTATTTTTAACCAGTAGAAACAAAAGAGAATCATACACACATTGTGATATTTGGAGGGGTTGAAGATTCCAATTTCATTGTAAGGAAGCAAGTCGGGGATCCACAAGTCTGCCAATGAGTAGCGAAGCATATTGATTCCTGGATGAACAAAAATCGAAACTCTTTAAGTATATCCCCTTTTTGCAAAAAAGGGGGGATTCGTTACTACGTATAATAGCTTATTGCACATATTGTCTTCAAAAATTTGTAAAAATACATTAATGAAGTTTCCTACAAAAATCATAAAAATTTTAAGACGGGAAATTTTGTAAGACGATAATCTCGGGTTATCACAAATGAGCTTTTTTGAAACTGCTATAACTTCACGAAATGATCGCAATTACAATATATTTTTATTTAGTTTTCAAGTGATGGATATCTTAGCGGCGTAATAAAATCCTGGCCAAAAATTTCTGCTTAGAGAGTCAAATTTCTCAGGAAAAAATTAAACTATTGTTTTATTCAAAAATTGTTTAAAAAATGGTGATACGTTTTTTCTAGCGATCCACAAAACTGAAGTTATAAATTCACTTCGCAATTGATCCGCCTAGTTTTTTTTCTAAATGGAGCAAAAACTAGAAAAAAAACAGGCAAATAACGAACTGAGTGATAATTTTGTTTTGTGAATTAGTTTTATTTGTGTTTCTCAGCATAAAATTTTTTGAGGCAATAGAAGGAAAACTAAGTGCCTTCGTGTTCTTGTGGGTTCCATGACATCATCTCATCCTTCCACGCGATCCTCATCCATATGAGGGTTGTCATGGTTTCCGCTTTGGGGTTAAAGCCCACCAGCTGGTAGAAGGAAGCCCCCAAGGTCATGTTTACGGTGGTGTTGAAGTTGACCACTGGACGAGCACGTCTATTGTAGCCTGAAACGTATCCAGAAGGCTTTTTATTTGAGGTTCGTTTTCGGAAAAAAAATTTGTTGCACAAAATCCATAGCATGAAAAAAAATGTATCATACAATTTCATAGATTTGGTTAAAAAAATGTTTGACAATTTTTTATATAAAAAAAACTTTTTTTAGCTTATTGAATTGTACAATGAGCATTTTTCCCAAGTAATGGACTTGCATGAGAAGCAGTTTTTGTCAACCCGAGTTGCCTTTCAAATCAAATACAAATCTTATTGGCTGCTTCATTGAAACACGTTTACTTACAGTTCCGTAAACAGAATTAAGAGTTGCAGACTACTTTGCAATCTGTACAAAACATTTGGGTCAGTTTTTTATACCAGCCAAAGTCTTAGTTATCTTGAAGGGAGTTTTGTCGTTTGTAGCAAAACGTAAGAGAGGCCATAATGATGTTTTGACACCTTTTCTAAAAATATTTGACTGCGGTGAGGACGTTTCGACCAAAATTGTCTTACTTTGAAACTACTTGCTTGATCTACAAAATATGTACAAATTTTTGATCAAGGCTCTGAAAATCCATTTTTTTTCGAAAATTTTAAATTGGTCATCAGGAATAATTTTTTGAGAAGTTTGATAAGCTCGAAGACCTCCATTGATTCATTGTGAGTTAGGACCGATGGGTATAACTCATAGAGTAATTTCGGATAGGGTACACCGTCTGCTCGTCACGCTATCTTATTTTCGGCCGGATAGATTCGTGCAACTTCTTAGTCTAATACCGATCCTAATCTTACTCTTATACTATCTAGTCTCAGGTTGTTTAACTAGTCTCTGCTAGGCTCAATAGATCTAGGGTATACTGGTTTATTGCGGCTGCTGAAGTACTCGGGAGAGTTCAACTAACTTCTAAGTTAAATTCAAATCTCTCTGGTGCTGAAATTACAAGTAATTTCAGCACTTACAAATAAGTGGATTGTTAGTCAGATGGATCATGATTGGTTAATATTAAATACTTTACATTGGTAAAATATCTAATTTATCCAATCATAAAATGTAGTTTAGATCAGGTTCCACCCATCCGGGTTTTACAGAGTTTTTTAGAATAGTCTTTCTGCAATTCAAAGGATGGATGATGGACGTTGGTATTTGGCGAACATCTTATTTCTTCTGGGTTTTCTTATTAGAGAAGTCCCAGATTCAATCGTTGTGTCTTCTCAAGACAACGACTGGGTTTTCGCAACAAACTCAAATCTGATTTCAGAATGGTTGGCTATGTCAGGTTTTTCTGTTTCATTGATGAGAACTTCTTTGTGTTTGACCTTGTCTGGGAATGGCGTGGAGATTGTGCGTGGAGGGGATGCCTGGTTACTCGGATCTGTACATATACTTGAACATCGAGGTGGTCATTGGTCTAGTTCAATGAAGTCCTTTTCTGCGAAGTCAAGTCGTACTCTAAATCCTTTGAGTTGTGATTGTGAGCGGCATATTGATTGTAGTTGGCCATTCTTTCTCGAGTGTAGTAGGGTCGTTTTGTCTTTGGATGTTGGTCCTTGGTGTTGTATTCTGATCTATGTATTGCATAATGTAATTTACATTTTATAAAACTTTTATTAGTTTAATATTTTTTAATTATGACTTTAGTTAGTTGTTTTCACAAAAGCTTTTTGTTTTAGTTCAGTTATTTTGAAGAGTTACTCACCCTTGAGTAGCTCTTATTAAAAATAGGAGTGTGGTCACAAAGCGTGGATGTAGCACGGTGGGTTAGGCCGGCTATAGATTATGCTCAGGACGTCCTTCCTGGTGGGTTAGGCCAGGAGTGGGAGTATGATTGCATGCGGTTTTTGTGAGAGATCCTGTTATGTGACAACGTTTTATGTTGGGTTTGTTGTGGTTTTTCTTATGTTTTGTTGGTTGTGTCCTTTTTTCAAAAATCAAATTGTTTGTGGTATGGGTTTGTCTTTCGACTTTTTTGTGTTTTATTATTTCTTTCTTAGACTTTATAATAGTCTTCAAAAGAATAAATTATCCAGTTTTAAACTGGGTTAATCCGGTTTGGGTAACGTTGGTTTCCTTTTCTTAGTCATGCTGTTATGCTATGTGTTGTGGTGTTTAGTAAGCTGCATTGGTTAGTTTTGTTTAGTATATAATTCCTTTCCAACCGGGTTAAAGGAAAGTTTGAAACGTGTTATCTTGTGTTAGAGTTGTTGAGTGTGAAAGCTTGAAACTGAAATTCATTATTTAAACAATTCTTCGTGGGCGAGCTGTGCGAGTTTGGATAGAATTCTTGTGCGAGTGAATGAAAATACCAAAAGGTTAGTACTGCATTTGCTTCTTATTAATTTACTACATAGAATTTCAATTTTACTGCTAGTTGTTGGGGAAAATTAAGTTACAAATTTTCATCATTATTAGATTTACTGAATTTGGGAAAAAATTTATAAATTAAATTACTGCATTGGTATTATATTTATTTAATTGTTGGTGCAAAAATTTAATAGGGTTTTAAACAGTTTTGAAGAAGTTTGCTATTTTTTAGTTTTCTTTTGTGAATTTTTCAGATGATCGTTGGATGAAGGCTAAAATTCTAAAGAAAAAATGGATAAAGAATGGTGAGTTTCTAATATTTTATTTAGTTAGTAATATGTATAATTGATACTTACCTGTTAGTCGTCGGGGAAGAAACCGTGGGGGAAGATGTCGTGGATGAGATCTGAAGTTGTTAGTAATTTAGCTAAAATGCGGATGATATTTTTAGTTTGAAGTAGTGGCCAAAGCAATTGAAGTGCTTTAATGGTGGTTAGTTCTTCAGTGCCAACTGCAAATTCATAAGGTGTGTTTTGGATTAGATTATATAATTTGTGATTGAATTTAGTGTTATGGATGAATTCTAAAATGGGGATTTCTATAGGTTGTACAAACTCGTGTGGGATAAGGAAGGGTCGGGATTCTTCTGCGTTGAAGGTCTTGGTGATGGGACAAAAAATATACATTTGGGTTATGGGATCATAATTTCGAAGAATACCATGAAGGTTAGTATCTTTAATGCAATATGTGAAGTTAAGAAAGAATGGTGAGGTGTATTTGGAATTGATGAATTGAAAACGATGGTGTGGTTGTCTGGAGGGAGTGTGTAGGTCGAAGTGATTTTGGATAAAACGATAATAAGTATATGTGTGTATTTGTTTAGTGCGCAACATAATATCGTGTGAGCAGTGCAAATCTCTTTCATGTGGTGCAAGGAAATGAAAGGTTAGTGAAAATATTTGGAAGCGTTCTTTAAAACTTTCGTAGGCTTGTGTGTCTGTTAGTGCTTCTGAAATAATGTGGTCAAACTTGCGATCGAAGATATTTAGTGTAAATACATATGGTGTTTTAATGAAAAATTTCTCGGTGATTTGTGGGTTAGCGAAGCGATCGTCGTCTAAGAATTGATCTTGGTTAGTTCTGATGATGTTATGATCGTAATATTCTAGTGTATATTCATTTGCTCGGGGTGCAGTGTGTGTTTTAAGTGATTTTTTATATCCAATGTAAGTAAATTGTCTAGGTGTTAGTGGTGTAGTGAGTCGATATAGCATGTCCTTATTTCGTTCTATATCGATGTGAGTGTTAGATAAAGGTAAGCAAAGGGGATTAGTAAAATGATAATATGAGGTCCAAGGAAGGGTAGGCATTAAAACGTGTTCGTCTACAAAGTTACGTGTCTCGTTAGTGTCGTGAGGGGTGTTTAAGGTGTATTGTGGAAATGAGGGTAAGGTGATAGCTAAAAATTCTTTTGTGTTAGTGTGTTTTGGATGGTTGATATATTCAAGGGCTGTTCCTGGTTTCGCTGGGAAAGGATGGTTGGGGAACTTTCTTTTAAAAGTTCGGTAGGTCTATTAGTGCTGAGTGAAGATTCAGTAGTTGTGGATGATGGTGCTAATGATTCAGTATAAATTGAAGAGGGTGTAGGGGTAGGGGGGTTGGATGAATCTATTGTGGATGAAATTTGGTTTATGGTTGGGGTGTCAAGGTGGTAGGGTTGTTGTTGTAGGGTAATGAAATTATCTAGTTCTGGGGAGATTTGGGGGGTGTCTGGAGAATGAGATGATTGGTCTGATTGAATTGAGGAGTAGGTTGGAGTGACTTGGGAAGCATAAGAGGGTGTAGAATTGGTTGGGTCAGGGTTATTTGGTAGTATGGGTTGAAAAGGGGGTTGGGAAAAATTTGAGGAATTGGTGTGAAAATTATTTGATGGAGATG